CACTCTGGTTGTACTTCTTCCAAAACAGATCTATTGGTTCTTTTGGCAGTCTATGGCACTTTCAGTATTCTCCTCCAACACCACAACTTAAAGGCATCAATTCTTCTACGATCTTCCTTATTCACACTGTCCAGCTTTTGCATCCATATGAGGTTATTAAAAATACCATCATGGCTTGGGTCAGGCGCACTTTAGTCCTCAAGCTGACATCTCTGCTCTTCAATACTTAGTCTAAAGGCCTAAGGGTCCATATGAACCACAACTGCTTCCAAACCTGAAATCAGAAGAACTAGAGGGTGCCCAGCCACCATTACCCACCTCTGATGAAAACCATAATAGCAACCAGAATGGAAGGATTCTTCATATCACAGAACAAGCTGAGTTGTTAGGGACAGGCAGTCTAGACACTGGCTATCAAAAATGGAGGTTATAAAGGCACGAAGTGGCTGGTTTACAAGCTTTCATGAGTGTGCTTACTTTCAGAATGAGGTGATAAAAAATAGAATCCCCACTGAATAGTTTTCCTCTCCAGATGAATCTGGTGAAAAGGGGTAGGGAATGATGCTGATAGGAATTTATGATTCAATGGTTAGTAATTGTTAAGATTGTTTGTGATGGTCACAACTGTAATTGTAGATGTGTAGCTAAAATAGGGGAGTAGTTTTCATTTCAGAAACAGATGATCCCAGGTCCATCAAGAAAGAAGAGCATGAGTGGAGTGTGAGATCCCTACCTAGAAAAGCAGCAAGAGCAGAGGTGGTGAGCATAGAGAGCAGCTGCATGCTCTAGGCCCATGGACTGAGTAAACTGTGCCTGCAGGCAGGAGACTGGCTTGCAGAATATGCCCTTGGGACATTTAAATGAATATATATTTTTTGTTTTGTATGTGTACATCAAATATTTTTGTTTTGTTCATCTGTGAAATATAAAATGTTCAGGGAGGAAGTAGGATCACTGTTGTTGAAGGGAGAGCATTGTAATCATTGAGATGAAACAAAGTGTCTAATTTGTTATATATAAAACTGATGATCTTGTCTGTTAACCTTCACTCAATTCTCAATATAAAGTTAAAAAAAAAGAAAAACTACAATAGAAGGTCCTGTTTAGAATGGGTTAAAAAAAAGTAGGGTAAAATTCAAAGTTAAAAAAAAAAAAAAAAAGGAGCAGACTTAACTGCTCTGAAACACTAGAGAACCCTTCAAGACTATTGGCCTGAGAAAACCTAATATAAAGCTGAAGACACTCCCGGAAGCCACCTTCCAGATAAATGTTGTTGAGTCTATTCCAACTCATAGTAACACTGTATAGGGTTTCCAAAGAGCAGCTTGTGGGTGTGAACTGCCGACCTTGAGGCCATACCAGGACTCCTTTTACAGCTAAATAGAGGACAGTACAAAATAACATATCATACCATTCTCCACACTGATTGTGGTGCTTCCTTAAATAGTTGCAAATAGAAATATGACCCAGTAATTCCAATACTTGATATATATCCTGGAGAAACAACAGCTGTGATACAGGTAGATATATGTACATCTATGTTCATCATGGAGTCCTGGTGTGGCGCTGTGGGATAAAGCACTAGACCACAAGGTCAGTTTGAGCCTTGGGTCAGAGGTTCAAATTCACCAGCCGCTCCTTGGAAACCCTATAGAGGGTCGCTATGAGTCAGAACCGACAGTATGGCACTAACAACAACAATGTTCATGGTAGCACTATACACTATAGAAAAATGATGGAAACAAATGACAATCAATAGAAGAGTGGATAAACAAACTATGGTATACACACAATGAAATACTATGCACTGATAATAACTATGAATCTGATAAATACCTCAACATGGGCGAACCTAAAGGATATGCTGAATGAAATAAATCACAAAAGGACAAACATTGTATGAGTCTATTATAAAGAGACAAGAAAAGTTTTCCACACTAAAACATTATTTGACGGTTACCAGGGGTGGGGAGGGTAAAACCCTGAAGGGTAGACACATATTAACTTGGGTGAAGGGGAAGACAGTAAGTAAATAAATAGATACAATGGTGTTGAAAAAATAAGCATAAAATATTGCATAAAAAAAGAGGTAGATTATTAGGTACATATTGTATAGCAAACTCAAGCCTCTGGGGGTAGGGCTGAGAGTGAAGGGGCCAGCTGGTCTGAAGTGCAGGGAGTTGTGTGTGAACTCTCGAACTTTCAGCCAGTGCCCATTTGATCTAGCTTGGATAGCTAATTGACCAAAACTTGAACCAAGGAAGATAAAAGATGTTTGATACCATGAACAAGTGCAATTTGCTACAATAGTATGAACTAGACTTTTTCCTATGAATGCAGTGACTCAAAATTCCAACTGGAATGGTAGGATTCTTCATATCAAGGAACAAGCTTGTTTCCTCAGTGTACTAGGTTGGTAGGGATGAGAAATTTAAACATTGGCTGTCAAAAAATGGGGGAGGAGGGGCTGTAAAGGCATGAAGTGGCTGATTTACAGCTTTCATGAGTGTGCTTAGTTTCAGAATGAGGGGGATAAGGTAGAATCCCCACTGAATATTTTCCCTCTTTTCCAGATGGGTCTGGTGAAAGGGGAGGGGGACAAGGGTGGTAGGATTTATGACTCAGTTATGAATAATTGTTAGCAGGATTAATTGTGATTGTCACAACTGTAATTGTAGAAGACATATAAGTAAAAGGGTGGTTAATCTTTCATTTCAGGAACAGATGATACCAGGTCCATCAAGAAGAAAGCGCATGAGTGGAGTGTGAGCTTCTTACCTAGAAAAGCAATAACAGCAGAGGCTGTGGCATGGAGAGACAGAGCAGTTGAGGGCTCTAGGCCCATGGACCAAGTAAAGCTGTGTGCCTACAGGCAGGTGACTGGCTGTCAGAACGTGCCCTTTGAACATTTCAATGACTATTTTTTGTTTTGTAAGTGTACATCAAATATTTTTGCCTTGTTCATTGGTGAAATATAAGATATAAATGGGGAGACACAGGGAAGAAGTAGGTTAAGTGTTTCAAGGAGGGGATTGTAATTTTTAAAAAAAATAATGTGAAGGATGTTCTTAAAACAATCAACTCTATGAGACCAACATTTGCCCCAAACCAAAGATGAGGAAAGAGGAAACCAAATTAAAACAGGAAACTCAGAGAGGAAATCGGGAGAACACTTACACATTTCAAGGATTGCAACCAATATCACAGAACAATTTGCATAAGAACTTGATGGGAAAATTAATATGCTTATATACATTTTCACCTAATTCACAATAAAATGTTGCCCAAAAAAGAATATGAATCTAATTCCAGGAGAATAATCTCTCTTTTCGCTATGGGTCGAAACCGACTCGACGGCACTTAACAACAACAACAACAATCTCTCTTTTAGGGATGAGTAAGTTAAATAGAAATTCAAATTTACAATTAAATTTTGAAATTGGTGTTGACCAAATTATTAAACTTAGTAAAATGAGGGTGGAAAGAAAGTGATTTATCTTAATAACTTTCTGCATAATTTTATTATCTGATTTTGGAGCGATTATATTGACTTTGGATTTATCAGCATCTTTACTTTCATTTTCATAAATGGGGCAGCCAGGGCAGTGAATTCATTTACATTCCAATCAACAAATAAAACAGGTTTCCAGTGGTTTGAAAGTTTTCAGTTGAGAGATGAATTCTTTGGATTTTACTGTCTGGTATAGGAAATAACCTCTAATTGAGCAGTTTTCATGCCTTTGTCTTGTCATGCTTAGTTCTTGTGTATTTCATAATGATACAATTATAAGAAAATAAATATAACTTCAGTCCTTATATAATTTTACAATTCAATTCCATTTTTATTTTTTTACTTTTACATAAACGCTACATTAAATGTAAAAGGTCTTTAATGATCATTTTAAAATCTGTCTACCGATTTGTAAGTTTTCCTTTAAAAAAAACTCCATAATAGTATTAATAAATATAGGGGTAATATAAATGCAAATTATACAAAACAAACAATGTTAGATTTACCTTTTTTTTCCAGTCTAGTAGAGTTTGTAAACATTTCAAAGTTTCTATATATTCATCTAACACCTGATTTGGTGAAACTCTTATCCACTTGAAAAAGTGCTTTACTCCCTTTACGGTTTTAATAAGAAAACCTCACACTACAAGGCAGAATTTGCTTCTCTACCTAGACAGCTGGGAGTCACAAGCCACCAAAGGCTACATTTATCGATCTGCATTTAGAACTTAATGTGAAATAAAAGATCACTGATTTTACCTGACCCTTTCCCAGTCATCCTTACACTCAGTCTTGAGAATTGTCTGGAAGGCTCACAACCATGATCACAAGCCATGATCACAAGCCATGATCACATAGCCATAGCTGGAGGTGGGGAAAGGGAGATCCACTTAAGGTTAACTCAGATTCTCCAATTGAGGATGTTCTTGGTTTATGGTTAGGGTTCCAGATCTACATACCCTAGAGCTGAATGAGAATTGGATATATAGTCTCTTCACAAAGCAAGCAAAGTATGTAACCTAAATGGTCAAATTCAGTCATTTTCAGTAGGCAGAGATTAAACCAGATGGTCAACTGAACATTGAAGGTACACAGGTTGATACTCATCTTTAAAGTCGTTCACAGCCAAACACATTGGCAAAAGAAATAAACCAGATTTGCCTGTAAAATGTCTTCATGAATGTTTAGTAGAGTGGGACAGGAAGATGGCAATAAAGTGCAGCAAATACTAAGAGTTGGCCCATAAAGGAAAGTGTGGGGGCTAATGTAGTTTCACTGGAAAAGTAGAAAGTTGCAGAACATCTTGTAATAATTCGAATGACAACATACAATATGTACTTAATTGGGTAGAATTTGTTAATGTAAGAAAAATCACAGGAAATTTGTAGAGTTTGTAATGGGCCCAAAGAACCGGGATGGGGATGGGGATACACTGAAACAGCAGTATACACACAGATACACAAGCTCACGCATACATATATTTTTCAGTTTAGCTTCTTAAACGAGTATCTTCCACTCTTGACTCCACAGCAGCACACGGGTAGAAAGGGTTCTAGTAGATTCCAGCGACAGAATTCTATGCTACTCAAAAAACAGATTGCTAGCAAGACAGCATCCCTGTTTTCTCCTATGTGGTTTATGCATTCATGAGCAGTGAAACCTTTAGAAGCCAACAGATGTCAGATACCAATGATCACACCAAGTAATGAGACAGGAGATTTTCACAGACTTGACTCTAATCCTAATCCTAACAGATGATAGGACGCTTATCATCAACTGCCCATCACACCCTCACACGTCCAAAATGAGGCAGTTCAGCTGCATCACAGATAGAGTCCAACGTGGTCATATGTCCAGGAGATTTCATGGAAAGAAGCGGCTGGAAGCCATGAGAGTCTGGGCACCGTAGTCTTTTGGAGCTGAGTCTCTATGAAGGAGACCCTGCCGTTGTCAGGCTTAGCTGGAAACTCATTCACTTAGAGGGGAGAAGGCGAGGTGTGACAAGGTCAGGATTGGAGGAAGAGGTTATTGGGAAGCCATGTTCCTCACAAAGAAGTGTGTTACACAGCATTCAAGCAGATGTCCCCATGGGGAATTTCTGTTGGTGTTTCTGGAGTGATGCTTTTAATAATACGCTGTTGGGAAGAAAATTGGAATGTTATAAACATTCTTGAAATTTGGCAGGGTTGCAAAAATATTTCTCAGTATTCATATTAAAACAAAAGGTATCAACATAGCACTTAATAGTGAATTGGAATACTTCTGTTGACTTTCCTTAAGAAGAGAATCCCCAATTTATAGTTTCTCAAATATCTGTAGGAGTGCTAGTGTGGTGCTGTAGGATAAGCACTGGACCACAAAGTTGGTTTGAACTATAAGGTCAGTGATTCAAACTCACCAGCCGCTCCTCAGAAACCCGATACAGGGTCCTCATGAGTTGGAACCAACTCGACGGCACTTAACAACAACAAATATCTGTAAGGATTTCTGGTGTGGCGGTGTAGGATCAGTTCTAGACAGCGAACCACAAGGTCAGCAGTTCAAACCTATGCAAGGTCAATATAAGTCAGAACCAACTCAATAGCACTTACCAAAATATCTGCAAACTAAGAAACCATTATGGAGCTAATGGGAGAAATGAATCTTCAAGGGGCCTCTGCGTGTCTTTGAGTGACGTGGGAAAGGGCACCTTTCCTCAGGGCTTAGGGGGCAGAGTGAATGCTGGACTTCAGTTCCCTACCCGTCTCAGCTGGGCATCTTACACCCTGCATGGACTCTAGAGTCACAATACAGAGTGCCATGCAGTCACCATAACAACCAGGACATTATTGATTCCATTAGTCCACCTGTAAATGAGCACTGGCTAGTTTGCACAATGGTGCAAATTATTACAAAATTAAATTTTAAAAGATGTAGCCATTTAAGTCATCAATCTTAAGCAACCTCATGTCGATATAATACTCAGAACAGGGAAATGGCTGTTTCTACTTTAGAAACAGCTGAAATGCTCAGAAGCTTTCAGAGAAATGTAAAATATGCTTATGTATGAAATTTGAAATTATGTGAAATGAAAAACTTAGTGTCAGGGTGACATGAAGCAGTACAGGGATGTGGAGAAGGAAAAACAACAGTGCTTAGAAAATTCTTTATTAAGTTACTGAGTCAAACCTTTGATGGCCAAAGTCTGCACATACAGTAAGGAGGCAAAATTGGATCTGAGAGCATGTTTTGATGAATTTTGGATGGAAAATGATGTCGTTCCCTTCACCCTCTTCTATTTCTGGGTTCTAGAGATAATTCCTCTTCAAGGAGCATGAACTATGAAATTCAGAAAGCTCCATTTTCATAGCTAGTGGATTTCACAAATTGTACCTTTCGTGTCACTCATAACCTTATTAGTTACGCATCAAAATGTCACACTAGAAAACCATTTTCAAAAAGAAAGTAACTGCAGTGCTCATGACTTACCAGGGCACTACAAGTCATTAGAAAGCACAATTTCTCAAACTGTCCATTTCATAAATTAATATAGAACCTAAAACTGATTAAACACAATTCTGTCGATCTAATTGAAACTTGGCACAGGTGACTGACTAGTCTTGAGTGGAGTCACGGTATACAGACACAGACAGGCGTACTGAGGTATAATGAATGACATGATAAAGTAGAGTATTTGGTTTTTGTGTTCTAGCCTCCACTCAACCATTCTGCTGTGCTTCTGGCTGCCTATCTCCCAAAATGCCAGTTCCACGTTTGTTTAACCTTATTCTGTCAGCATTCCACTTGCCAGGCAATTCTTGCTCCCAAAATTTGCCAGGCCTTCTGTAAGATGATAACTAACCTAAGAAACGGGTTCTTGTTGATGTTTTCATGAATAGTTACTTAGTGGGGCATCTTCCAATATCATCATGCACAGTGCTAGGGGGTTCTGCAACAATGACTCCCACCATGAGATACTCAGGCTTCAGGTGCTTATGATATCCTCCAAGTTACACCATAGATAAAATCCAACCTTGTATATGGCGAGGGCCCAAGAGAGTTCAGAAATTTACTTTTCTCTTTGTCTTTTTTTGTTTTTTCTTTAACCCCAAACCAAATTTTCTAAGAGGCCTCCCTCCTTCACAGATAGAATATTAGAGAACATGGTATAGGACTATAAATATGCAAGGTGAAGAGCCTCCTGGTGAATTTCATGTGCTGGACTAAACTCATAGCTAGGCAAAAGATTGGCTAGTTAAGAACAAGAGAACCCTTCTCTCCCAGAAACATTACCATTACTAATGTTAACCACACATATGCAAGCACCTACCTCCTTAAAGGTCCCTGGAGTGGTGATCAGCCGATACGTTATATACACAGGGATGCAGATGAAAGATGAGGTTCCTATGCAGTAACCCAAGATGATACTCCAATGAGGGTAATTATATTGGAAGAGCCGTAGCTGTGGGGGGCTCATCAAAAAACTGCAAATGATGAACTAAAACAGAAATTCCGAGAAACATTTAAAATCTTAGCTGAATCCACGCAGATAAAGATATTTCTGATACCAAGAACATCAAATGCTAGAGCTAAGATACTTCCTGGTATGGCGCTGTAGGATGAACACCGAACTGCAAAGTCAGTTTGAACCACAAGGCCGAACAAAATTTGCTAGGTCTTCTGCAAGATGATGTTGTTGTTGTTGTTGTTAAGTGCCGTCGAGTCGGTTCCGACCCATAGCGACCCTGTACAGGGTTTTCGAGGGTGTAAATCTTTACGTGAGTAGAAAGCCTCATCTTTCTCCCGCGGAGCAGCTGGTAGTTTCGAACCGCTGACCTTAAGGTTCGCAGCCCGATTCGTAACCACTACGCTACCAGAGCAAGATGATAGTGGTTCAAAATCACCAGCTGTTCCTCGGAAACCCCATATAGGTTTGCTATGAGTTGGAATCGACTGGATGACACTTCACAACAAAACAACTTTATACTTTCAAGAAATTTCTAAAACATAATCTATTCTTGATTGAATTCTAACACATAAAATTCACCAATTTCTGTACTTAAGCTGCAACAGTCAAACAGCCAGGTGTTTCATTTTCCTCCCTACCGCCATCTCAACCCTGTAGCCTCCGACATATCTTAGGGAAGTTACAGCAAAGCCCTTTGAACGGAGAAGAGATTGTCATTCACTGGGAGTGGTTTGGGCCCCATCTTGCCAGACAGTGTAAGAGTGGATGAGACAACCTTTCCATAGCTCCTGACTGTCACACTGTTGTTGTTAGCTGCCCTGGAGTTTACTCACATTCATGGTGACCCCATGTACACACAGTAGAACTGCTCCATAGATTTCCAAGGTTGTGACCTTTTGGAAGCAGGTATCACCACAGCTGTCTTTTGAAGCACCTATGGGTGCATTTGAACTACCAATTTTTCGGCTAGCATTTGAGTGCTTAACTATGCCACCCAAAGAACCGCCAGCCAGTCCTGCTGCTGCTGCTGTGTGCCATCAAATCGGTTCTGATTAATAGTGGGAGCAGAAAGCCTCATCTTTCTCTTGCAGGACAACCAGCAGATTCAAATAGCTGACCTTTGGGTTAGCAGCCCAATGCATTACCCACTACAACCAAGGTTCCTTCTGCCAGTTCCTGGGGCTCATATTTCTCTCTGTTTTGTTTTCATTTCCTCCTGTGTTTCTCAACTGTAATTGTTTCGGGTCAGCTGGAAGGTACCTTGTGGTCAAGAGGGATAATAAGATTCTCAAGACCTTGAAAGAACTAAGACTCCTAGGATAGATATGCTGCTGCTTTTTTCTTGAGTTCTCTCTGCATTAAGCTCTCTAGCCTGGCGATTGAACATGCTAGACACATGACAGCTCTGCCACATGACATCACAACAATGAATGACCACATGCCACAAGTCTTCATAATAGAATAAATTATGGAGGGAAAAAAACACTGCTTACTTGAAAACCTTGTGAAAATTTCAAACAAGAAAAATTCTACAGAGTGCTTCAAACACCCATCTTGCGAGGTTTTTCCATTCTTAGTTTGGTTTCTAGAGTGTAAATATCAGTTTTTGCCTAGTAACCACTGTGCTGAAACTGTCATTGCTCTTGATTTAATTTAATTTTATTATTTCATAGTTATAAAGAAGACAGTAATGTAAATTATTTGTGGTTAAAAATCTATTTATATCTTTTCTTTTTCCCCCTTTGTCTGCAGGTAATAATAAAATGGGAAGCTGTTAAACACAAATTCATCTACTAAGCTTATCCTAAATCCAGGAGGACAATTTCAAACAGGAGTCCAGCCAACTGCAACCCTTTCTCCCAACTTACTCTCCTCACCACCAGACCCAGCTACAAAGAAAGCTAATTTGGGAACAGGGAAACAGAGAGTTGGGTTAGGAGCCATCCTTGCTGTAACCTGTCTCATCCTGACGTCAGGTATATGCAATTAAACACAGCTCAGTAAGGGCTCAAGCTCTTGGCATGGCCGATAACTGTTGCTTTGGAAACTCCTTCACATGTCCCAGCCTCTTCTTGCTTGTATACAGATTTTTCTTTTTTTGTAATTTGGCTTCAGTGAAAAAGAGTATTTTTAGTAAGCTACTAGCTGTTTACTTAAAGCAGTGTTAAAAAGTCCAGAGCAGGAGACCTGTTAAGTAAACCCAGGAGTAGAAGACAGATGTGCTTCTTCTTAATCAGGCTCTCTTGATCCCTTGCCTTGAGAGGAGGTGAGAAAAAGGAACATCATGAGAATCATGACTAGTGTACTAAAGTCCAAATCTGGACATGGATTCTGTCGGGCAAAGAAACCCATTGACTGGGCATCGAAATACCTGAAGACAAGGCAAACAACAGACAAGCCTATAAAGTTAACAGCAACACTGTGAGGAACACACGCCTCAGAATAATCAGCCATATGAGACCAAAAGGACAGTATTTGCCCAAAAACAAAGCTCAGAAGGCAAGAAGGGGCAGGAAAAAAGGATGGGACAAATGGACACAGGGAAGCCCAAGGAGGAAGTCAGAGAGCACTGTTACCTTGAGGGAATTAGCAACTATTATTATGAAACAATATGTACAAATGGTTGAATGGAAAACTAACATGCTCTGTAAACTTTCATCCAAACCACAATTAAAAAAACAGTTTATCCAGTCTGCCAGACCACCATAAATTCCCAGAAATCATTATACCAAAAGTCTAGGGTGAGGTACCAGAAGAGATCCTCACCTCTGAAGCATAATTTAAGGAGGTGCCAACAATCCAGTAATCAAGGTAAACTGTACATACTTTAATACAACAGCTTTTAAAAAGGCAAGCTCTGACAAAGCCAGGTAAGGGCGAGGCGAGTAAGGTGAGCAGTACATGTGCAATTGAACATCTTGATATCTTGTTCATTTTTATGCATTAATTTTAATTTTTTAAATATATTAGTGTTTTATTTCTTTTGCTGACTCTGTTTTTTGTTGTCTCTTTATATTTTATGCCTGAGATGAATTTTATGCCTCACTTCCTGACACATACCTGGGCCTTGGTCATCATAGCTTTACTCTGTGGAGAAACCAAAGTCAACAAACAAACGTGATTTCTGCCCTTAGGGGATTAATCTGGTGTCTCTTCATCATTTGGAAAACAAATAAAAGGATTTAAGTAGTACGTTAAATAACTGTAATAGAAACTAGTAAACTTTTGTGTAAGGGTTGCAGGGTCCTGTGAGTTGGCACACAACAACAACAGTAACTAGCAGCTAGGTTTGCAGACCAACCCTCCCACAACCAAAAATTCTCAATGACAATTTTTTTTTTACATCTACTATAAAGCATCAACAAACTGATAAATTCATACATAAGGAACTTCCAAGCCAGGATCTTAAGGAAGAACTAGAGCCCAAGAGCACATCCATAGGAGCCATTTTCTGAGAGGACTTGGGGCTGTGGCAACCTCTGGAGTCCAGGGGAATAGAAGTCAGGGAGGAGAGAGACATATGCAGAGTCACAGAGGTCAGAACGTACAGTGTCGATGAAATAACATTGAGATGTGTGGGTGGTACAAAACGCAAAGGGCTGCCCTAAAAATATCACAATAGAATGCAAAAAGGGTCATTTTGAAAGAGGGAGAAAGACAGGTGCAAGCCAAAGGCTGAGATATTCTAAGACAAAATGGAACGGCTCTGCTCCAAATAAGCTGGAAATGGATTGAAGGAACAATCCAACAATCTTTCTGACTCAAAAAGATCAGATCAATCAGTCGTCGTTGATCAACTATGATTCATGGTAACCTCATGTGTGTTAGATTAGAACTGCTCTACAGGGTTTCCAGGGGCTGATTTTCAGAAGTAGATCTCCAAACCTTTCTTCTACAGTGCTTCTGGGGGACTGGAGCTGCCAACCTTTAGCTAGCAGCCAAGCATGTTAACTGTTTGTACTGGGGACTCCAAAAGATCAGGTGGCCCCCAAATGAAACTACAGATAGAAGAAAGAGTTGAAGAACAGTCCCTGGGGAAGTACAGAGTCAGTTCACCTTAGATTGCCTCAGACCACACTTGAGATGCTAGTAGAACACTTATCCACCTTTGGGCACGTGGCTTGCTTCAGGTGACGTCAGGTGCACAGGGGCATGTTCAGGAGGAGGAAATGAATTCTGAGCACTCCTAGGCATGGGCAGCCCTTGGAACTGAACACTCACATCCAGTTCCTTTGGCAATAAATGGATTCTATCCTGGTGTGGCACTATGGGTTAATGTGCCAGACTGCAAAGGCGTTTGAATTGCAAGGTTGGTGGTTCAAGCTCACCAGTCACTCCTTGGAAACCCTATACAGGGTCACTATGGGTCAGAATCAGCTTAACAACAATAACAACAATGGCTAATGACTGTGAACATTTTGTCATATGTTAAGGAGCTCTCGTAGCGTAGTGGTTACAAATCGGGCTGCTAATCTCAAGGTTAGCAGTTCGAAACTACCAGCTGTTCTGTGGGAGAAAGATGAGGCTTTCTGCTCCCATAAACATTTACAGCCTCAGAAACCCTATGCAGGGTTGTTACACGTCGGAACCGACTGCACAGCACATAACAACAACTTGCTATGAGTCAGAACTGACTCGATAGCACTTAACAACGACAACATTTACCTCAGACTCCTGGTGTGGTTGTACGATCAGCACTGGACTGCAAACCACAAGGTCTGCAGTTCAAACCCAACAGCTGCTCCTCGGAAATCCTATATGGATCGCTATGAGTCGGAACTGACTCGACAGCACTTAACAATAACAACTTTCCTACTAAGCCCTATAACTGTGAAGTGTTGTCTCATCCATGTTCTGTGTGGCCATGGTTATGGAACTCAGTAAGGAAGTACAGAGTGCCACTGCGGGGATGGCTGGTATTGGAACTGATAAATGGATTGGAGAGAGAAGGTCCTGTCCTTCTACACTGCCATTTTTACATATTTTTATGTGTCTGAGGGTGAGTCTTTCCTCAGGGTAGGAAGAAGAAGGGAAATGACAACTCACCAGGAGAAACACAGGGCTGATGGCCACCCAGCAGATCCTCCAAAACCATCCAGGGCTGAAGCCAAGCATTTCTTTCACGTCACTGCAGAACTGAGTGATTCCTGAATTACCCAAGAGAGAAAGAGACTGACTGAGAGAACATGGCAGTCCCTCCACCCCGATCCTCAGGGGGCTCGGGATCTGCATTGGAAGTGCAGTGGAGGAAGGGAGTTGGCATTCTTGGCCTGGTCAATGGTAACAACTCTGCAATTTCTCATGGGATGGTGGGCGGAGGACTTGTTACAAAGCTGCATTTTATAGCAAGCAAAGTTCTTTCTACATACAGCTGAAGAACTGGCCTAAAGTCCATGCTATATTGCCTTTCTAAGATCTTAAAATATGTTATATATTATATATACACATATATTATCTTTCTATATGTATATTTCATTTTATTGTTATTCTAGAAATGGAAGTTGAATTTTGTCAGTGAATGGTGAAACTGCCACCTAAGACTGACTTTTGACCACATGCTGGAAACTTTCAAAGGCACATGTTAACACAATACTGCCCATCCATGTGCTAGATCAAGATCAAGATTCTTCTATAAAAAGGAACTGCTACAAAAGTGAAAGCTGAAGACCCCAACTGGTAAGAAATGGAGAAGGATTTGAACTTTGTCCTGTAACTTGCTGAAGAAATGGGGAGGGTTTCATCTATAAAAAGAAAATAAAAAAGCAGAATATAACCACAATGTGGGCCCATGTGCAAACCAAAATGTAGGTCTGCCTTCAGATGATGTGTAGAGACCAATGCTAAAGTTGTTTATCATTGCTCCATTGTCATAGACTCATTTTGACTCTAAATAACAAAATTGTTGTTGTTGTTGTTGTCAGGTGCCATCGAGTCGGAACCGACTCATAGCGACTCCATGCACAGCAGAACGAAACAATGTTCGATCCTGGGCCAACCTCACCACCGCTGCCACCCCCGAGTCCATCAATGATGCCACCTGGCCGATCCATCTCGTTGGAGGTCTTCCTCTTTTTCTCTGACCCTCCACCCTACCCAGCATGACATCCTTCTCCAACGATTGTTTCCTCCGGACTACATGTCCAAAGTAGGAGAGACGAAGCTTAGCCATCCTGGCCTCCAAGGAGCACTCTGGCTGCACTTCTTCCAAAACAGATCTATTGGTTCTTTTGGCAGTCCATGGCACCCTCAGTATTCTCCTCCAACACCACAACTCAAAGGCATCAATTCTTCTACGATCCTCTTTATTCACTGTCCAGCTTTCGCATCCATATGAGGCTATTGAAAACACAATGGCCTGGGTCAGGCGCACCCTAGTCCTCAAGCTGACATCTCTGCTCTTCAAAATAACAAAATAGAACTGCCCAAAAGAATTTCCAAGAATAAATCTTTATGGGAACTGACAGTCTCATCATTCTGAGGGCAGCTGGCAGGTTCGAACCACTGACCTTGTGGTTAACGGTCTAATGCTTAATCCACTATACCACCAGGACTAGTTTTTATCATTTAAAAAAAATCCCCAAACCCACTGCCATTTACTCAATTCCAACTCATAGGGTGTCCGAGACTGTAAATCTTTACGGGAGCAGACAGGCTCATCTTTCTTCTAAGGAGCCACTGGTGGGCTTGAACTACCGACCTTGTGGTTAACATCCAGCACAGTGCCACCAGTGCTTTTTCCTTTTTTTCGTAGAAACTAGTAAAATAAATACATTTTTAGAATGAAACAACACAGTTTATTTAGTTGTTTGTTAACTTTAAAGATGAAATAAGGCTCTCTGAACTTGGCTTTCTTTACATCAATTGCCTGTGTCCACTCCTTCTCTACCCAGGGGCTCCGGAACTCTGCCTGTGGACCTATGTCCAGGGTACTCTCAGTACCCACAGAGGTTCTCCCTTATCAGAATCCATCCCAGAATCCTCATTGCCTGTGAGTCCATTGGTGACCCTGTAGGACAGAGAAGAAATGCACCATACAGTTTCCAAGTTGACTGCCACATCTTTCTCCCACTGACCTTTTGAATAACATCTGAGTGCTTAACCACTCTACCACCAAAGCTCCTTATCCCAGACTCAGAAGGGGTGAATTTGTGATTTCACCAGGGCAGATAATGCAAATAGGACCATTCTTACCTCTTCCCTAAAATGCAAGCACCTAAGCTCTTGCTCAGAGTTCTAGTGTGGCTCTGTAGGATAAGCACCACACTGCAAGGCTGGCAGTTCAAACCTACCAGCTGTCCTTAGAAACCCAATAAAGGGTCACTGTGAGTCTGAATCAACTCAACGGCACTTAACAACATATAAATAGTAGGAGTCCTAGTATGACATTGTAGAATGAGCACAGAACTGCTAACTGGAAAGTCAGCAGTTCTAAGCCACCAGCCACTCCTTAGGAACTCTATACATACAGGGCTGCTATGAGTTGGAATCCACTTGACGACACTTACCAACAACAACATTTAACAGTTGTATATTGTACGCTCTGAAAATGCATTCCTGCGCACTAGTTCTTTGTTCTCCATCCAATTCTTAGAACCAGTCATCATCTTCAGCACTCAGCCATACATGAGTGAGCTATACACAGAACTGCTTCAACCTGTCTCCACTGTATAAACATCTAAACCTGGAAGGAAACCAACGTTCTCGCAAGAGCACGGGCAATTTGTCGTACAGAGTGCGGAGGAAATGATCTAATTCTGAAGAAGGCAATCAGCTGAGATTATTTTACAGGCCCACCGGAAGGTCACATCGTGTAAATGCGCCTGCCTTTCTTTGATGAAATCAGCCCTTGTCTACTCTGCTGTCTACAGACTGATGTAGAAAGGATGGCTGCTGGTTGAAGGAAGCATCTCACCGTAGAACCAAGACACAGCAACTGCTTCAATAAGCACGACAGTGAGGACTGCAGGCCCCGTGGCATATTCCTCCAGCAACTTCACCACATAGGCCCCTCCCTGCAAGAGATCATGAGCCTGGTTAAGGGCCTCTGAGGCAAGACACCTCTTTACTATCAACACCTGCAGAAGCTCCTTAACCAGTTAACTTGTTAGATGTTTCCGTCTCATGGAGACCCCCTGTTTGTCAGAGTAGAACTGTGCTCCATAAAATCCTGGTGATTTTTTAGCAGCAGATCACCAGGCTTTTCATACAATGTGCCTCTGGGTGAGCGCAAACCTCCAACCTTTCAGTTAGCAGTTGAGTATAGTAACTGTTCACACAACCTGGAACTGCAGAAGCTTCTACGATAATTCTGAAAAATCCCCACCCTGGGCCTCTCATGTGTGCCAGTTCCCTCTCACCCCACAGAACAGTCTCTTGTTACTTGTTTTCTACCCCCATTAAGCTTGAGTGTCCAATTCCAAGTGGCCTCTGGACCGGTTTTCAATTTTCCTCTATCTAGAGTCCTGGTGTGGTGCTATAGGCTAATGCGTCAGACTGCAAAGTCATTTGAACTGCAAAGTTGGTGGTTCAAGTTCACCAGCTGCTCCTTGGAAACCCTATACAGACTCAATGGCACTTAACAACAACAACATTACACATCTAGAGTCCTGGTGTGGTGTTGTGGATTGATGCAACAGACTGCAAAGCCATTTGAACTGCAAGGTCAATGGTTCAGGTTCACCAGTTGCTCCTTGGAAACCCTGTAGAGGGTCCTATGGGTCGGAACTGACTCGACGGCACTTAACAACAGCATTACACATCTGGAGTCCTAGTGTGGCACTGTGGGTTAATGCACCAGACTGCAAAGTTGTTTGAACTGAAAATCAGTGGTTCAAGCTCACCAGCCGCTCCTCGGAAACCCTATACAGGGTTGCTATGGGTCAGAACTGACTCGACAACACTTAACAACAACAACAACAATTACACATCTGTTGGGTGCTCTGCCCCGCAGAATCCAGTCTCTAAAGACAACAGTTTCCAGGGCGCATCCATGACACAGATGCATCGAGCATGTTGGTCACAGCCTCACCTTCTGCCCTCGTTGTGTCTTACTAAGAGCCCTACCACATGCAGAAGCCCCACAGCCATTAAGGTTAAGACTTGAAGAAGAAAATCTGCAAAATCTACCCTGAGTCGGGAGGCCACAGCCTAAGATGCCTGCAGTTACTGTTTTGCCTCAGCAACTTGAAAAGAAAAAAAGTTGCTAGAAAGGTCTGACTTTTTTACCATTGCCAGTTCTCTGGCGTTGACATTATTATGATCACGAGATGCCAGCCTGGCCTCCAGATGTTCTGCATTTTAGGGCAATATTCTCATAAAAGCAGCCTTACACAACGAAAATACACAGGAAAAGTAGATCCTAAGTGTTATGTATGTAGATTTGTTGCCAACTCTGAAATCTAGTTTGATCTGCTGTAAAATGCTAACAGCCTCCAGGTGCCATGACTAGATCCTGCAAACAGATACTGCCAGAAATACCTTTTCTTCTTATCCTTGATTACAAATTTCCATGGACATGACAAGCCCCCTTCCTTTGATCCCAAAGCCAGAGCACTGTGTGGGATGGGAAGAAAGCAAGCCCTTCTTGTAGAGCCATGTCACCTTAAGGGAGACCCTCTCAAAGGTGAGGGCTGTGGTACTCACAAAAGTCAGGGTGACCAGGGATCCGAAAAAGCAGGTGATAACCACCCCAAGCACACACCACTCTCGACGCTTGGCCCAGATGTGGGGAAACTCATCCAGCACAGCTGTGATCACCCCCTCCAAGCCTGCAAACTGAGAAGTGGACACAAGCAATCACAGTGGAGCCTTTGGGATAAGTCTGTTACCTCCCAGGACTGTGGACAGGGCGATGGAGGGCACCTTCCCAGGGTTGGGAAAACTGCTCAGTGACAAGTCAAGCCAATCATGAGCAGCTCTCCAGACTCACCAGCCTGCAAAATCATCGAGAAGTTTCTTTTCCTGTTTTACATAATTGGAACCCATCATGGAGAAAAGCCAGGAAAGAGAATATAACACATGGAACTTGTATTTGTGAGGTGCAATAATGGTCTAGAGGAAACTTCACCTGAGACTCACTCCACCCTAACCAGGGCAAGGCACTGGGCTAAACACTGGGCAGAGCCCTGAGACATAGACTGACCTCGCCCTGGTGTTTAAGGGCCACTATCTGGTCCAGGGACAGTGCACAAGGATGTCCCACTGTGACGCATCTCTTGCCCACATTAATGACTCTAATGTCCTAAAGGGCAGTGAGTGCTGTCACTGTGGATACAGAATGAATACCCCTCTTGATCCTTCCTGAGCCATTTCCCTCCCCATTCACTCACCGTGCTGTCCAAGCCCAGGGTGATTAACATCAGGAAGAAGATGATGGCAAAGAATGTGGATGCTGGCATGTTGGCTATGGCTTCTGCATATGTGATGAAGAGGAGGCTGGGACCTGAGAGGAGGAAGACCCAGACACACCCACAATTACATCAGGGATTGATTGGAGGCTCTAAGACTAGCAAAGTTGTACACAATAAAAATTTCTATGATATCATAAATTTAGTACTTTGTTCCAGGAGCAGAGTTGACATCACTACAAAGTCCCACAGTATTTAGCCCCTTTGGATATCTTTAGAAATGAGCTGCTAAATGGAAGCAATGATTAAGGAATGGGCTATTAATTGGAAAGTTGGTGGTTCAAACCCACCAACTGCTCCACAGGAGAGAGATGAGATTGTCTGCTCCCATAAAGATGCATAGTCTCAGAAGGCCCTCGACACTGTCCTATGAATTGGAATTAACTCAATGGCAGGAGTTTGGTTTTACGTTGTTTTTCTTTTCTTTTCTTTTTGTCTTTAGCTCCAGAAAGCAGTCTGGTGTGGCACTGTAGGATCAGCACTGGACTGCTAATCGAAAGGTTGATAGTTCAAACTCACCAGCCACTCCGTGGAAACCCTCGTTAAGAGTCGGTACCGACTTGATGGTACTTAACAACAACAACAGCTCCAGAAAAGTAGCAACTATTAAACTGATTTCAGTAAAGTCACAAGTCTCTTTTAGTTGTGAAAGGAACATATCTTTAACCCCTCATGTGCTAGCTAGGGATGCCCTCCTTCCGGGGGGACAGGTCAGAGCACCCCAATAAGCCAAACACACACCATATGTTAGTAGGAAAGCTTTGGGACTCCACCCAGTAGATCCTATCACCTCTTTTCAACAACTGCTTTTTTCCTTTTCCATGAAAATGTCATTGTCCCCTAGATTGGCAGTGGGCCTCGTTGGCCATGCTTTATTTTTTTATAACAGGCAGTTCTAGGGGATTATTAATCATTTGCTTACTAAACTTGGTCATCTAGACCCAGACCCAAATCCGCTGACCCAAATAAATCATCCAGGTCAGACTTTCTGGATGTCTTTAGAAAGGAACCCAGGCCGTATTTCAGGCGGTAGTATTGGGGGCCAGGGAGTTGCCCTGGGCCCACAGTAGCCTGACGCAGGGTAAGGTTGAGCTCTCCTGAGCAGCAAGTATCTCCAAAACCTCTAAAAAATGTAATAGAAACATTTTAAATTAATTCAATTCTGTAAAGCTGAAAACTGCTCTAAAAAAGAAAGCCTATTAAAAAAGAATCCTGGTGTTGAGCTGTAGGGTAAGCACTGTACTGCTAACTGCAAGATTGGCAGTCCAGTTCAAACCTACCAGCTGCTCCTCAGAACCCTATACAGGGTTGTTATGAGTTGCAACCAATTTGACAGCTCCGAAAACTACAACATTAAAAAAAAACAAAAACAAATTGGAGAGTCTATTTCCCTACTGAGTGGTCATTTAAAAAATAGTAATTCAGAAATCAGATATTTGCAAAGTTCCAAAGAGCATCAAATAGAAGCCCAGGACCAGCTTGTAGCAATTCAACAGGAACAAACAGAACCGGAAGTCCTACCTGCATCTTTGGCTACCTCTGACACGTCTTCGTTCCTCATCTCTGCCATGTACCCCAGCACCGTGAAAATCACAAATCCCGACAGAAAGCTCGTCATGCAGTTCACCACACTGGTCACCAGAGCATCTCTGGGGGAGAAACCCGAGGTGGCTGAGACATATCCCTGGTCAGAGCGTAGGAAGCATCTGTCTGTGCCTGCCTTTGCAGAATGGACTGAGCTCAGAGGGACCTGAAGCCTGTCTGTTGGCCCTCTCCCTTCTCCCAGAGCCCCAGCCTCTCAAGCAGGTTGGATCAGCCTTAAAGCACAAACTGCTGTTCCCCCCCCCCCCCATGCCTGGCATGGAGTGAACAGCAAGTTTGGGGTTGTTTTGAGAAATTAATCAGTTTAGAAACAGCACAACACATTGCTGTTATTAGTTGCTGTTGAGCCAATTCTGTCTCACAACGACCCCGAATGTGCAGAGTAGAACAGAAGTAGAGTCATCAGGCCTGTCTTCTGAGGTGCCTTTGGGTGGGTTCAAACTGCCAACCTTTCAGTTAGTAATTGAGCATTTAACTGCATGTGCCACCCACAGCTAAGACCTATCTGTTTCCAACAAGTCTTGTGGTGAAGCATGGGTTGGATGGGGAGCAGGAAGGGGGCCTGGCCTCACAACTCTTAAGTCCTCAGATCTAGGCTTTGTGTGTGTGGTAAATACAAGGGGACTTCCAAAACTCTGTGGGAAATGGAGTTAAATAGTAATGGAGTTGTCCCAGGAACTTCTGAAGCCCTCTTGTATATATATCACCCAACATTTGCCAGCTTAACATTTTCACATGGACAATTTAGTGACATTGAACACATCAACCATGAAGTGCAGCAATCTGTTGCCAAAATTTCCATCACCATTAACTGATGATCAATGCTTCCTAAACAATGATTCCCTCCAATCCCTGGTAACCATTAATAAACTTTAGTCTCCTTGCATTTGCTTTTTCAGATTTAGACTTTTGGCATTATTTATAAATGAGGTCACAAGACTACCACAGGGTCACGCTGACACTTTTAAAAGAAGATGTCACCATACAACTTCAGGACCAGCAAGACCATATTGCCCATGGTGCGGGTAAACTCTTTTTTAAAAAATAAATTCTGTAATTTTCTAATAAACAGTGCAGTTAGATTGCTGCATATGGTCAACTGTGATAGAGCATTTACTAAAACAAGACTAATTAAGGATACTTAAATCATAATCCCTGTTTGGTCAAAAACTCTAGAAACGAGATCTGGCCACCAAGATAATGGTATCATGCCTTTTGTGTATACACCCGTGAATTATCACTGAGTAATTTTTAGTGTCAAACACATTAACTAGTTAAATTTAAAACATTAAATGTATGTTCTACTTTTTGTAAACCTGCTTTGGAATTTTTTTAATTAACTAGTTTTTTAATATACAACGGGGCTTCAAAAAGTTCGTGGAAAAACTCCATGATCTTTTCATTCTATTTGTCCATGAACTTTTCAAAGCCCTCCTCATACAGACACTCACAAAATAGAAGTGGTTTGAGCCTCACTCGATTTCTGAATGCATGGGTGGGTGGTCTGGCCAAGGATGAACTGTTCAGGGACCTGCAGTCTCATCACAGCCTGAGCCAGGCTGGGTTTAACATCAATGGTTTCATCTGCAAATCATTCTCTAGACCAGATCTCCTCTACTCACCCCACTTAAAAGCTTTGCTTGGGGGATCCCAGATACTCACTGATAGCAGTTGTTGTTGAATTTGTTGTAGCTAGCAAAAGCCAGTAGGACCCCAAAACCAGGGCCAAGAGAGAAGAAGATCTGAGCAGCAGCATCCACCCACACCTGGAACAGAGCAGACGATGAGGCAAACTCAGCTGACACCTCACATGCCCCCTTGTCTGTGGAAGACCCGAGGCTCCTGGTAAGGACAGTCACACAGCAAGTGCAAACAAGTGTGACACTGACATCCCTTCCTATCATCTAGGTATCAACCAACTCATTGGCCTCACAGGTTTTCATGCTTGCATTCTGAAGCCAAATTTCATTTGCCCTACTTCCATTAGTAAAATGAGTTGGGTTCATGCCTTCCCCTTGTTTATTTTACCCCTGTCTCCAGGAGCTTCTGCCAGTTAGGTTTCAGGTAGAAGAGAACACCCCTCCAGGCTCCAGGGAGGGTGGCTCCCCGCACCAGCAGGACAGAGAGGATGATGTAAGGGAACGTAGCCGTCACCCATACCACCTGGAAAGGAGATTGAAAATTGTGTTAGCACTGTGCTATCCAGGAAGAATCCAGGAGGGAAGCGGTGGGTGTTGGTGTCATTTTTTCTTAAAGATCTCTAAGAAGGGTGACCCCCACTTTTTTTTCACTCTGTAATTTTAAGAGGCAGTGTGGTGTGGTGGAAAGAGCACAGGGTTTATAATCTGATTGACAGGGACTGGATTCATAGGTTGGCCAGTACTGTTGTTGTGGTATTGTTAGCTGTCTTTGTGTTGGCCTTAGACACATGGCAACCCCATGCAAAACTGAGGAAAACACTGCCTAGTCCTGTGCCATCCCTATGATTGATTGCACATGGGACCACTGTGATCCACAGGGCTTTCATTGGTTTTTGTTTTGTTTTAATGTTTTATTGTGAATTATGTGATAGTTTACATGCGAGAACATTAGCTTTACATTCATCCTATTGTATACATTGCCATGGTCACAACCCCCTCCAAGCATCATCAACCAACCAAAGGGTATACCCTGCAAGCCTGCTCCTCCCTTACCCCCAGTCGTCAGCACACAACCCCTCTCCCTCTCTGGGTTCAAAGTCCCCAGTCACTCCATCTCTCCACATCATCGTCTCTGTCTCCATCTCTGGCGTCACTGCTTCTCTGGGTAGGGTCCCACTCTCTGCTCTTCTCCCTTGAGGGTCCCAGGGACCTCCGCTCCTGGACTGCAAAGTCAGTCACTCCCCTTCTTTTGCTACAAAACATCTACCTTTACATTTCCAACCCTCACAGTTAGTCCTGATAGGAATTATTCAGTATTGTACCACAAGAATCCTATCCCCATCTCCTTTCATCAGCCCTGCCCAGACACATTGGATACTATTCAGTGGAGAGTCTACCTTCCTCCACACCCTCTAGATCTAGGTTCCCTCATGAAAGCTTGTAAGCCAGTCACTTCTTGACTTTGTAGCCCCCCACCCCCCGCTCATTTTGGGTAGTCATTGGTTGGTTTTTGAAAGTAAACTGCCAGACCTTTCTTCCTAGTTCCTCTTAGTCTGGAAGCTCCAAGAAACCTATTCAGCATCACAGCAATATGTGAGCCTCCTCCAACAGATATGTGGCAGTTGTGTATAAGGTACATTGTTCGTGGATCAAGCCTGGGTCTCCCACCACATGGTATGTGTGAATTCTACCAATGAACCACCTCACTTGACCAGAACTAACTATCCCTGTCACATGGAAATAATATCTAACAGGAGACAGTAACATTAACCATTGTACACAAAGCACTGAAAGGAGCTCTGGTAACTTAGTGGTTACGAATCAGGCTGCTAACCTCAAGATCAGCAGTTCGAAACTACCAGCTGTTCCATGGGAGAAAGATGAGGCTTTCGCTATGAATAGGAACCGACTCCACGACACATAACCACCAACCAAAAAGCACTGATATGGTTCATGATGGTTTTCAACAAATGATGGCCACTACGATTAATTTTGATACTGCCATTGGGTTAAAAGAATTTTGAGGGGGGAAAAATCATATAGTGGTTCTCGGGATTAGCTTATGTCCATAATGTTCTAACAGATGTGATGAAGTGATTGAGCATCACAGAGTGTGACTGTTTACGCTGCTGGTTTTGAGTCTGAGACACTCTGGGGCCCCTGGGCAAGTCTGGATCATCTGCCAGTGTCTCCCATCACCTTGCCAGATGTTTTGACGCCTTTCCAGATGCTGAAGTAGATAACAGTGAAGATCAGCATGATGCAGAGGGCAAGCTGCCAGCTGATGCCCCCCAGATCCTGGAGTCCCTTAGAGCGGTGGATCTGCAGGACATGACGTCTGGGGTGAAAGAGAGAAGGTCTAAAGAGCAATGAACACGATACCTCCAGGAGCCACTGCACCGCAAGGACCGCGTGGCCCTGGGCCTCAGGGGGAGAGCAGCACATTCAGCCACCAACCCCGGGAAAAGCGCTGAGCCCAAAGACAGACTTCTGGGTTGAGACCCGAATCCCTATGATTTTGGAATAAGAGGATTTGTAATATGTGGGTCCTGGACCCCCTCTGAATTCCACACCCCAAAGTAGCTCTCTCTTCAGGCTGCCACACTGTCTGAAATTCTCGCTGGAAAGCATACTAGTTTCTCTAATCATCTTCTTCCAAAAGGGAGAGTTCACTTACAAAGTCAACACATTAAACCATAAATCATCTGAAGTAGTTTGTTAAATGCTTTGTTTCCATGACAACTAGCTGAGCAGAAGGCCAGGGAAGAAGGATAGTTTTGAAACAGGGACTAATTTTGGAATGTGAAGGTAGAGCCCAGCCTAGGTACATTGGGGTAGCCTGGCATGGCCCATCAGAAAAAAGAGGAGAGGTACAGGAGAGTCAGGTTACAGAGCACTTGAAGTAGAGTCTCCTAACGTCCAATCCTGCCTGGGGGCCTGCTGTGTCACCTCCTCGCTCACATTGGCTCACCAGCCCTGATAGCTTCATCACTCAGATATTCCTCAGCAAAAGGCCAAAGCCCAGGGGTGTGGCCTGCCCGTGACAGACCACCCCCCCACTTACACACACTTACGTGTAAAACTCTTCAGCCGGGGACGTGGAGTAGAGACTCCAGGTAATGTTGTTCTCAAAGAAGTAGTTGGTGCAGTTGCCAGTGTTCCAGGAGTTCTTGCAGCTGGTCCAGGGCAGCTGGTCCGTGAAGGAGGAGATGAGGTAGTAGAGCGCCCAGGCCATGATAGTGTTGTAGTAGGAGGCGATGTAGAAGGCAATGATGCAGATGGCATAACCGATTCCTGGGAAGCAAGAGAGAGAGGACAGACAGGTTTCAAGGGCAGCCCGATGTGAAGAATTGAAACCAGGCATTGGAGGGCCCTGTAGTCTGAGTGAAGGGCTGATGTTGTTAGTGGCCATTGAGTTGACTCTGACTCATGGTGACCCCATGTACAGCAGGGTGAAACCCCGTCTGGTCCTGTGCCACCTTCACAATCGTGGGTATTCTTGCATTCATTGTTGAGGCTGCTGTGTATTTTGAGTGTCGTCCAACCTAGGTGGTTTATCTTCCGGCACTGTATCAGGCAATATTCTGTTGTGCTCTATTGGCTAATTTTAAAAAAGACATTGCCAGGCCTATCTTCCTAATGACTTTTAGTCTGAAAGTACTGCTGAAACTTGCCCACCACGGGTGATCCAACTGGTACTAGAAATACTGATAGCAGAGCTTCCAGCATCACAGCAACCTGCAAGTCACCACAATACGACAAACTGGTAGACTTCATAAAACCCAGCTTCTCGGATGATTTGTTCAGCATACAAGTTGAATAAGTATGGTGAAAGTATACAATCCTAATTGAAATTGTCAAGGACTTCATTCTTCTTGGATCAACCATCAACACTCATGGAAGCAGCAGTCAAGAAATCAAATGACTTATTGTATTAGGCAAATCTGCTGCACAAGACCTTTTTAAAATGTTGAAGAGCAAAGATGTCAGCTCGAGGACTAGGGTGTGCCTGACCCAAGCCATGGTATTTTCAATAACCTCATATGCATGTGAAAGCTGGACAGTGAATAAGGAAGACTGTAGAACTGATGCTTTTGAGTTATGGTGTTGGAGGAGAATATTGAAAGTGTCATGAGCTGCCAAAAGAACCAACAGATCTGTGTTGGAAAAAGTGCAGCCAGAGTGCTCCTTGGAGGCCAGGATGGCCAAACTTCGTCTCTCATACTTCAGACATATTGTCAGGAGGCACCAGTCACTGGAGAGGGATATCATGTTTGGCAGGGTGGAGGTCAGAGAAAAAGAGAAGGACCCCCAGAGAGATGGATTGGCAATATGGCAGCATCAATGGGCTTACGCGTGGCAACAATTGTGAGGTTGGTCCAGGACCAGGCAGTGTTTAGTTCTGTCGTGCACAGGGTTGCTATGAGTTGGTACCGACTTGATGGCATCTAACAATAAGAAGTCGAGTTCTGATTATCAAGCCATCAAGGCTAGGTCAAATGGGTACCATCTGCAAGTTTGGGTGTTCTTATGTGTCTCCCTCACTTCATATCAGCTGGGTGCTTCACTCTCAGCTCTAGCCCTCTGTAGCTATGTCCTTGTCCATGGGCTCAGGTGTCCCCAGGTCTCACCACACTTTGGACCAACCAGCCCTTCCTCTTCTCTCTCTCATCTCCAGGTCAACGGGAGTCTATGGAACACGGTTGAACTCAGCCCATTTTTTCATTGCTGCCTTTCCCCCCTCTTCCACTCACCAGTAGACCAGTGTGGTAACCAGTAAGCTTACATGCCTGCTCATGTGTTCCCTTCAAGTTTCAGTCTTAGAGGGGCCTTTGTCCTGAAGGGACTTGATTGCTTGCTTTGATGGCTTCCCTTCACCCATTTTATAGTTAAAAACTTAATTACCCAAGTTATTTCCCAGCGATATCTGAGGCCTAATTGATTCCAAAAAAAGATCCCCAACTTTCATCAAGTCCCATGGGAGACCCCACTCACCCACCACCCAAGCCCTTTATTTACCTTTGAAAATAGGACAGATTTTCCTCCATATTGAAATGCATCCGTTTCTGTGGTACTGGCCCAGGGCAAGCTCCATGTAGAAGAGCGGGATCCCTCCAAATATGGCCATAAGGGTGTAGGGGAGGAGGAATGCCCCTGAGAAAGGTGAGAGATGAATTCACTGCCTGCCCACATCCATCCCAACTGAGCTGGACAAGAAGCCCCATGGATCCGTCCAACACTTGAGGGTCATGGACCCATTCTGTGCCAAGTAACTCCCACTGCGCTCCCCTTGTCTGAGTGGTGAGCAGACTGCTAGGCTACAGTGATGTTTCAGAAGACAACTACAGCTCAAAGGGAGAGAAAGTTGGGTTTGACAAACCAATACCAGCACTACTTGTCACCCAAGGCCACTTCCCTTCCCTGATCCCCAACTTCCTCCCCTAAGAAAGGACAGGATTGACAAGAGCCTCACCTTACATCATAATCTGGTGAACATAAAACACTCACCTTGATCCCTAGATCCATCCCAGATACCCTGAAGCAAAATCTCCAAGTACAACACAACACACTTTTTTTTTTTTTCAAGCTCATCAGATTATTGTCATGCAACAGGTATACAGACCCATAGAACAGTGCTAGGGACTCTTGGACCAGGTCACCTGTGAAATAACTGCGTTACAACAACCTACATAGTCTCTGAATCAGTGTCTTTGCACATCTATATTATCCATGGCCCCAGACACTTGACTACTGATATTTGGCTGTCTTTCCATAATTCCACTGAGCCAGGAATATCCCTCACAAGCCACCTTTGCAGGTAGGTCTTTTAAAACAAGGGTACATATTCACAAAATGAGACTGCTGTATCACTAGGCAGTTTGGTATCTTCTGGGTTTTGTGGGACTGCATAGCTGAGAATGAATTTGTAAAGTTGTAGCCCAACAAGTGGATCAACTGTGACTTTCCCTGATAACTTTCACTCCCATAAAGTGCATTGAACTTGGGAATGTGAAGTCACTGTTAGGACTCATCTAACTCATAATTGCATGGATGACTCTGGCTTGAGAGGAACCACATTGTGTTTTTGCTGTGGACTTTATTGAAAAGGTTTTGCTCAACTGGCTTTAGGACAGGGGAAACTAGTGACCCAGCTCCTTATATAATGTGCAGGCTAAAGGTGAGTCCTTCCAGGCTGTCGATAAAGTAATTATGACTTCCTGTTCTCTCAGGCAGGGAGCTATGGGTTTCTGGGGCCCATCTGGAATTGCCTTTTTGCAGCTTCATGGACAGAGGTCCTTAAAAAACGCAGTGAATCCAAGTTGCTCTGTTGGGACATGGAAGACGTGAAGGTGACACAAATTACCAAGTCTATTACCAGAGGTCCTGTCAAAATAAATATTGACTGATTTGACTCCAACTTCTTGTCTTAATAGGACTCTGATTGCAAGAGCATTAGAAGACCATACTATTCATTACTCTCCCTGGGGTCCACACAGCCATACCCACAGTCCACTGCTATGTTTCATAGTCTGTAAGTTTGCTGCTGGAGACACTTGGAGGGTTACCAGGAAGAACAAGAAGATGGTCACCAGCCTCAGCAATCGATCACAAGGATGTCTACATATGCTGTGGCTCTGTAGGGTAAGCACTGGACTGCTAACCACAAGGTTGGCAATTTGAGCCCACCAGTTGCTCCGTGGGAGAAAGATGAGGTTTTCTGCTTCTGGAAAGACTCATAGCTTTGGAAATTCTATACGGGGTCACTTTGAGTCAGAGCTGACTCGACAGCACTTAAAAATAACAACTATCTATGTATGGTTTGGGGTTGGCATCAATTTTACACTGTGACTAGATTCAGGTTAAGTTCATGCCAAAACTGGTAACTTAAGACTCTGGACTTACATTGAGGCCCTTCTTTGACCCCACACAGGTCTCATAGGGTCTAGGACCCTGAAACCACCTCCCACTTTTTTTTCTGGAACAGAGCTAGCTCCTTTGGACACCTTCAGGACAGAACCTGCCACCCGGAGTGCAGCAGTACCAACAGCCCTTCTACCCTGGAACTGTGGTGGAGGGCAGAGCTTGGAGAATTTGCAGATGAAAAGTGGGGTCCTTCCACAAAGGAAGCACTAATCATGATGGAAATCTGGGAAGGTCAAATCTGGGAGAGCTTTAGTCCAACTGTACAACTCAAAGAGCCTCCCTCAGACATGCTGATCTAAGTCTTTGGTGTATTGAGGATTTGTCTTTTAGACCAGCTTGAAAGTCTAAGCAATCATGTTCCCAGACTCATGTCAGTTCAACAAGACAGAAGAGACATGGCTCTTCCTTTGGCATCTCAAGAGGACCTATAGCCCACCCCTGAGTCAGAGCCCCAGATACTGACCTCCTCCATTCTGGTAACATATGTAGGGAAAGCGCCAAACGTTGCCCAGATCCACAGCATAGCCAATGACCGAGAGCAGGAAATCCATCTTCTTGCCCCAGGTCTCCCGTTCCCCCCCATGAATCTCAGCCACTAGGGCAGTGGTGGCTACTGGGGTGGAGTGCTGGGTGTCGTCTCCTGCACCAGGGCTCGGAACCGCTGAGAACCCATTGGAGATTTGACCAGGCTCTGCTTTATCCCCTGGGGCAGGGACACCTTTCTGTAGAACTCCATTTTCCTGACAATCTTCTCCATCCTTACATGCTGATAGCTCCTTCTGAGAGTTTAAAGGCATGGTCTCCATACTGCTGGTTAGTAGGGGGTACTGGTGTCCATCTGCCAAGGGCCTGAACTGGATTCTAAGTCCTGGGAATCCTTAGAGCTTTATAGAGATGGGATGGTGAGCTCTGATGGAAAGGCATGCAGAGAAAGGAGAAGAAAAGTAAGCATCTGAATTGTCTTTGGTATTAAGTCATCAGATCTCCTAACCTGCATCAGTATATGGGATCACAAATGCATCTGTAAATATGAAGATATCCTTACACCATATAAGGTGAATGCAGTCAACTAACTTTTCCAGCCTAAGCCAAAAAACCCCACACCTGCAGACATGCTGATTAACTGTGTTACAGAGCAGACTCTTCCACAGGGTTTTTTTTGGCTGTAGTATTTACAAAAGCAGATCGACAGGCTTTTCTTCTGTGGAACCACCCAGATCATTGAATCACAATCAAGTAATTTGTAGAGACTGAAAAACAAAAATAGTTTGCACATCTCCAAGGTTCTGAATAGGCTCTATTTGAAAGCAAAGCATTTACTTTGCTTGGGAAGACAGGAGTCTCATCTTCTAGTACCAGCAACTAAGAAAAGTATAAGACAAAGAGATTCAGTTCAACCACGCGTCATGGAGCACTTGTTTGGTCCTGGATGCTGTGCTAGGTCCTGGGTAAATAGAAACAAAACATAACAAAGAAGTAGCTGGTTCTACCTGTCAATAGGTAAGAAAAGTCTTCTCCATTACATAAGCTACAGATACGATTTAAAAAGTAAAAGAGCAAAGGATAGAGAGGAAAGAGGCAGTTCCTTGTGAGACAGCACTACCCTTTAGCTGTGAACCTTTTGACTCTTCCCTTAGCCCAGGTCTTAGAAACCTTTAGGTAGATTCTAGCTTCCTCCGGCAGAGGCTGAAGTTACAGCCCGCCCCGCCATGTCCTGCCTTTCTGCAAAACAGATTCCCATTTTGGCCTCTGAAAGTTACTTGGGCCTGCTCACCGTTCTTCCTGACACTCCCAGCAGCTCCTGTGGCTAATCCATTTGCTATTCTGCAATGATTACTGATGCTGGCAAGGTTGGTGTCTCAGCCACCAGGCCACTCAGTGGGGAGGGCTGGGCATGGGCTACAGCACCTTCACATCACCGCCCTGAGCTGTGGGGAAGGCAGCATGGCTTGCATGGTTTGGATTCAGGGCTGAGACATCAAATGTGCAGTAGAAATCTGAGCCCTTTTGGACTTTATACCTATGATCTGTTATAAAGTTGTATGCAGCCAAGCCTTTCCAGCTTAGTTTCTTTTTGGCTTGAACTTTTCAAACTCTTGAAACAGTTTATGAGCTGAATCCTATTTCTGCTTAGCTAAAATCACATTATACCTTTCTAGAAAAAGAGGTGCAGGGATGGACTGAGATGTTAATATATTGAAATATACAGCTAACTACACTGAGTTTTGGAGTCCTGGTGTGGTGCTGTGGTTAATGAGCCAGACTGCAAAGTCATTTGAACCAGAAAGTCCATGGTTCAAGCTCACCAGCTGCTCCTTGGAAACCCATACAGAATCGCTATGTGTCGGAACCGACTTGATGGCACTTAACTACAATGACAACAACACTGAGTTTGAGGAAGGCCTCTGTACCCGTCTCTGGCCTATACCAGCGGCACGTTTTTGCATATTAAACACTGAATAACTTCAATATCAGCTAGCAGGTATAAAGAGCTTTACTGTGTGTGGCCTTTGGTACCTAGATATCTTTCTATGACCTTGGCCTCTCTTCCCTTGATTTTCTTTTTCTTTTTTTGTCACTTTCCAAACTGTACCCAGCATCTTCTGAGGGAAGGAATTTCTTCCCATTTTCAATGATAACTTTCTTCTTGTTTAATTGAAGTTCATCAAACAACTGCGTCATCCAACCTTTCTCCAGTCTGTCCACACAGGGGAGTCTACAGAAGAGCATCGGAATCCATCTCAGGACCAATCCAGTTAGCACTACACTGAGGAGTAAGTGTTTAGTCATGACAATGCCTCCCTACCCTACCACTGCACAAGCTGACTGACAGGCTTCACATCTCATTCACAGGTAGTCGTCCACTTACGACGTATTTTAGTTACACCGCACCATACTTATGACCATCCAGGTTTTTCTTTGTCTGTTTTATACAGTTTATCATTACTAATATGATTGGATACAACGTTGCAGTACGTAATTTGCTGATGTTATCATGCTTGCAGATGTTCCATATTATGATTCACTGTTCAAAACACTGCCGTGTAGAAGGAAATAAGGAGAATTTTAAAAAAAGAGCGAGAGAATGGAATTCGACTTATGACATAACCAATTTATGACAAAGTTGTTGGAATGCAGCCCCATCATAAATCAAGGACTACCTGTACTTTCTTCCCTGGGATATCCTGCAGTAAGAATGGAATACATGTGGTGAGCAGGCAGACTTTTAGAAGGCATGTAAGTGTACTCTTAGGGACCCTCAGGGATTCAGCTCCCATGGCATTTGATCTTGACTTGGCATGTCTGATGAGCAGCTTCTGAAAGAATAATACACTATTTTCTATTTTTGTTCTGAGCTGTTACAAAGGTCTTGTTTCCTGAAATACCCCCTGGTACTTTAAAAAAAAAAAAAAAAAACTAGACTGAAATGGCCTGAGTCAGGAAAAAAACCTTATTAATTAGTCTTCCCACCAAGAGCGGTTTGTCTCTATCCCAGTTCTGCTTTTTGGGGGTTCTGCAATTGTGCTCCATACCTGGTATAGACCAGTCAGCCACCAGGTACAAGGAGACAGAAGATACACATCTCCTTTTTTGGACTCACCCCTCTCCCAGTTGGAGGAAAACTCACCAAGTACCAATCAGGTCAGCCAGGAGCCGAGGGGCAAGCCCCTTTCTGTCTGCAAGATCCTGCCTGATGGATCTGGGACCCCATTCCCATTTTTCTGATTCTATGGCGCACTGATCAGCTTTTTTCTACTAAGATAGGCAGATATAAATGGTTGAGAACGAACTGGCCCAGGAACATAGAAATAAGAGTTGTTAAAAGATTGGTTTCTGAGGATGCACTCTTGAAAGCTTTCTGTTTTGTTAAAGGTATTTTTATCCTGCTGGATGGAAAGATTGCAAAGAAGGTCATTATTACCACTGCAACCTCCTCCACGATGCCTTTGGGTTTCTCCACGGCCAGAAAAAAAACCTGGAAACTTCCTTTGCACCTTGAATGTATGCTGTTGTCTCAGGTTGGGAAGGTAACCCAGCTCTAGCATGGAACAATGACCCAGTGCACTTGAGCCTTGATCCCTGTCTGTACACTAGAGGGGCCACAGAGTTGTGCCTTCCGCAGGCTGACAGTCTGTGATTCACTTTCTATTCACACTCCCGCTTCTCTTGGCCCTGTGACTAGGCTAAGTCACACCCTAATCAAAAAAAGTCTGCATTTAAACAGCTCATGATCAAATCTTCTTTCCTCTTTCTACAAACTCTGTCTCTGTAGCCAGGGGAACCAGTATCTGAACAAGCATGTAATTACAATTAGTCATAAAACCACCCAGCCCTTTGGAAATGCCTATGACTCTACTTGTCTGTTCATTATCCATCAGCACATTCTCAGCAGAAACACTATAGATATTTTGTCTTTGATCAAGTGTCAAGATAAAAGTGATTCTGTTTCTTAGGATATTGACTTTCCATTTTTGAAAACAAAAGCTAAAGAAAAAAAAAAAAAACAATAGATTGTGGGTCTAACACTGAAATAGGATTAATTATAGGTCATATAGCTAAGGGACAATTTGCATTCTCTTCAGAGGGAGTCTAAAGTTCCCAAGGCACCTATCAAGGATGATAGGAATTACAGAACTCTGGTGCCACCCAATGTAATCATCATTGAACCTCGCTCTCTGCCATGGATCAACATGTTCAGCAAAGATGTTTGTGTGTGAGGTGCAGTGAATTACTTAATATGACCCTTCTAGCTATAGTCTTTGTGAGTTCACAGATGTTGCTGTTGTCGTTAAACTCCATCGAGTTGCTTCTGACTCATAACAACCCTATATAGTGTTTCCAAGGAGCAGCTCATGGGTTTGAACCATAGGCCTTGCAGCCCACTGCTTATCCTATAGTGCCACAGCAGGAATCCATGCATGGGACTATGCAAATGTGCTTGTGACCCACCAGAGGAATTGGATGCAAATAAAGCGATAGAACCCTGTTCTATCGTGAGTGTGGTATAATGAGCAATCAAGTTGGTTCTGACTTATAGAGACCTTGTATAGGGTTTCCGTGGCTGTAAACTTCTATAGGAGCAGAAAGCCTCATCTTTCTCCTGTGTGGCCCCTGGTGGACTTGAACTGATGACTTTGTGGTTAGCAGCCTAACACGTAACCCACTCCGTTACCAGGGATCATGTAAATATAAGGTATTTGGAACCCTAATGAGAGCATTGGCCTATCCGGGTATGTTTAAAGATTGAGGAGCTGTAACATGGCACCGTGGTGATGCAGCAGTAGCAAGAACAATAGTGGCAAGAGATGGCAGGAACCAGAAGACTAGCATGAGACAACTGCTGCTGTTGCTGCACTCTGTCTCAGGTCTCTGCATTTGAGTTTTGCTCACAGGCTTTCATAGTGAAGTATTTGCATCTGCTGAAGGGCTTGAGTCCTCTGTGATAATTCATGTCATGGATCCTACACCACTGGGATACCTGGCTTGTCTTTCAAATTAAAGAGTCCATGCACTGTTTCATTGTACTGTGCACAGGGTCACTATGAGTCAGAACCAGCTTGGCGACCCTTAACAACAACAACAAATTATATAGAAGAAGGAGGCTGAGAAAATCTGCTTGTTTTTAGAGTCAAGGGGTAGAAAAAAACTCAAGCATCACAGCCATTTGCTTCTCTGACAGTTTAATCTTTTGGAGAGGCATTGTTGTTGGTAGGGGCTGTCGAGTCTGTTCCAACTCATAGCAACCCTGTGCACAGTACAATGAAACAGTGTCAGCTTCACAATTGGGAATTTCCTCTTTTTCACTGCCCTTCTACTTTGTCAAGCATGAAGTCCTTCTCCAGGGACTGTTTGTGCCTGAAAACATGGAGAGGCATTGTTTGTGTTGTTGTTAAGTGCTGTCAAATCAGTTCTGACTCATGGCAACCCTGTACAGGGTTTCCAAGGAGCAGCTGGTGGGTTTGAACCACCAACCTCTCAGTTAGCAGTCCAGTGCTCATCCTACAATGCCACACACTAGGATCATTTCCCTGCCTGAAAGAAAAGAATATAAAACTTTAGAAGATTCACTGTGTGTAGTGGGGTCCAGATCATTCTAGAGCTTGGTCAAAAGTATAATGGATTGACTATTATAACATAAGAAATGGATTTGACATCAATAGACACGATTAGCCCTTCTCCAATGGACATGTCTTTTAGCTACACAGCCAAGCCTAGACTCATGGCTTTCCTGAGTTGTCATTTAATCATTTCTGTGTGTCCACAACCTGCAGCTTTCCTTTCTGCCTCACAGACTTGCACTGGAATCCCAGATCGACTACTTACTGGCTGTGTGACTTTTAGTAGACTACTTAACCTCTCTGAGCCTCAATTTCCTCATGTATAAAAGCAGAGCAATGAAATTCTTACTGTATAAGAGTGGTTGGCTAAAATTAAATAAATGCTTAGCTCAGTGTCTAACCCACAGAAAGTGACAGTGAGCTAACAGCCACTCACCACCACACACATGCAACCCACTCTGCTTTTCTTCCCCAAGCAGGGAAACTGAGGCCCACAGGGGTAAGTGACTTGGGACCCACAACATAAAGAGTCAGATTCTAGGGTCTCCATCTCCTTCCAGGGGGCTCACTGATTCCTACTTGTTCTTAAACAGTGACTTGGAGTCACCTGTGAAACATAAAGAGCAGATTTCTGGGCTACATTGTTGTTGTTGTTAAGTCCCATCGAGTTGGTTCTGACCCATAGTGACCCTGTATAGGGTTTCTGAGGAACAGCTGGTGAGCTTGAACCGCCGATCTTGCAGTTCAAATGGCTTTACAGTCTGGCGCACTA